CCTGTAAGTGAAAGTTTATTTGCCAGAGACTTGTATTTTTGCCTAACCCATCCCTGAGTTAAATCCAACCCTTCTATACTGCACAGTATAGTCAGACCTGTGTTTCTGTACAATACAGCTGGGCCCCCTCCCCAGCCCAGCTTGTGATTGGACAGTGAGGGATTAGCAGTTATCTGGTGGGGTTTTCTCACTGCTCTCCCCTGCTGTCAGCAATTTTTTTGTAATCACAGATGTGTGTGGGATACCTGATTTTTCAGTCCCCGTCCTAGTTTAGGTCTGGTTGTATAGTGGATTACAGGAGGCTAATACCAAATCAAAGTAAAAGCGAGAAATAACAGTATCCTTCTTAAAATTAACCCAATATAAAAGAACATCACTACCCTTCTTAAGCAGCCCAAAGATTATGCAATTTTCCTTCCTTCGACCACAGGTGGAATGAAAGAAAATTGCTTGAATCCCTCCTGCAGCGCAATTGTAGTCTTCTGGTGTGGAGCCTTCCCTGCCGGCAGAACACAATAATCACTGCTGGCCGCTGGCATTGATTACATGAAAATAAATCCAACAGGCTGGTTGTATGCAGGTTGATTAATCCAACTTCCATACTACCAGCCTGACCATAGATGTATTGAATCTCAGCCAGTCCCTGTTGAACTGGCCGAAATTTATGCCATCTATGGCCGGCTTTAGTCTGCAGTTGCTCTCACACAAAATGTCCCAGCAATCTCAAAGTCCTAAGCAGGGGCGGACTGACCATTTGGAAACTTGGGCACCGCCGAAGGGCCCGGGGTCAGTAGGGGGCCCCATGAGATACCCCTGGTACCTTTTTCATAGGCATTTTTGAGTTTGTGCAAGGACACAGGGGCCCCATGATCCCCTATTGCCCGGGGGCCCCAAGAGTTGTCAGTCCGCCCCTGGTCCTAAGGCTGTAGCTATGACCTTCCACACTATCTCTGAAAGTCCAGGTTTGCTCAAACTATGAACACTCGGTCCCCACTGGATCCAAAGCCAAAATACATTGCTGTATATATTCTGGGGGGTGGAGATTTGGGTTAGCCAAACAATTTGGCCTTAATTGGCCTGTTCACCTGCCCAAATCCCTTCCTCTATAGTGTAAACTAACAGTCGGGGATCCGACAGTGTGACTGACAATGGGTTTTCTTCAAGGGACATTATTTACATTTTTTGTTTGTAATGCTATTACAAAGACTGAGTCTTCCCCACAAATCCCCATATTCGTTATGGGGGGGAAGAGACCCTTCTCCCTCAACACTGGAAAAAAAGGTAAGTTGCAAGGTAGGGGGGAATTTTGCACTCATTTTAAAGGACTACATTGTCTACTGTTCTGTAAAGCTGTGTGCCATTTTAAGGGGGTTAGTTCACCTTTACCAAAAATGCAGGTATGGAGTGCCTGTAGAGAAAAGCAAACTGTGCAAAATTGGATAATAACCTTGCTAAAGTTGTAGGCCATATATGTTCCTCCAAAGACTGGCTGAAAGATTCTCAGAGATGGCATCATCCTGTCCTGCCTTGTTGCTAGGATGTTGCTAAGATTCTCCCAGCTGATTCAAATCTTTGCACATTAGGTCTCTTCCCAGCTACAGTAGCTCTGAACTCAATGATGCTGTGGCAAAGGAGATAGTCGACCACACATATGTGGTCATTTTAGAGCTTGCTCCTGTGATGGTGGGGGTGACACAAAAGAAAAGATAGTAAACATGAATAGCCATTCATGCTTACTCTCTCGGGATTTATGAATGAACATTGGGTGATCAACACTGATCACTCTGGTGTTCATTCAAGACAGGCAAAGAATTGGTAAATATGACAATCATATTTACTGATTCTGTCAGGAATGGACTCATCACTGGTGGTGGGACTCACCTGCCGTGTGCGGGCTGCAGTACCAGGGCTGGCCAGCGGGTGCTCTCAGCAGCCAGAAGCTCACTCCTGCAATCAAGTCATCACATGAGGCTGATTACAGGAGGTGTATTTAAGGAGTGGCCAGGCCTACAGTCAGGGCCTTGGTTTCCCATGAGCCCCTGTACCTGCATCCTGTCTGCTTCCTGCCTGATCCTGACTCTGCTTTGATCCTGACTCTGAACGAACTCCGCCTGTCCTGACCTCGGCTATTCCTGACCACTCTTCCGCTCGCTCCTGGTACCCTGTTTGCCCGTTTGCTACCGACCCGGCCTGCCCGACTACGTTTGACTTGTATATATGGTTATCTGTTGGAGGTTGGGTTGTTTGCACTGTGTTATGTTTACCTTGCACTGCGTTTGTGTTGTTTAGTCTTTAATAAATTGTCTTGTTTACTCTATAACTGAAGCCTGCGTTTCCCTGTGTCAGTCCACACACCTCTGGTCATACCCGGAGCCCTGACAGATTCTCTGCTCAGCCATCCTGCTAACCTGATCCTCCCCACTGGGCACAGGCACCCTTTTTCCTGCACAATTCACTTTCTTGGCCGCTACAGGCAGGGATAGAGCAGCAGGAGGACCAGAAGTCATAGCAGGGAGGATCTGTGTTGGTATAGCAGTGGATCTCACTGATCATAGCTAAATGATATACTGACTTAATGCTAAAGCATGAGTTTATAGCAGAGTTGGAAATGCAGCCAATGTAAGGCATACATTGCTGCTGTATGTCTTACATATTGTACATATCCCCACTTGCAGTGCTCAGCTACCCATATCATTGTTTTAACTATATCTTGCCTATTAGCCTCGAAAATGGCCAGGACAAGAGAGCTTGTTTCACCTCCAATAGACTTCAAAAACTTGGGGACAATCTTCTGGGTTTGCTGAAATTCCTGGTCAAGTTCACTCATCCCATAAAACCTAGGAGCTGGTCATATAGAAGCCAAGGTTGTTGGATGGTAAATCCAAGAGAACATTGAAATCTCCCCTCATGAACTGGCACTGTTCAAGCATAGCGGATTTCTTTTCCTATTAGAACCGAGTGGAATAAGGGAAGTAATATCCTTCTCTTTCATACAATGTATGCAATGGGGGAACTTATTTTATATAAGCAGCAGTTTATTTGCACTGGAAATCCAGTGTGGACCAAATTCTCATAGTTGTAATAAAATGGGACTTGGTGGTAGCTATGTTATGTAACACAAATTCATACACTGATTGCAATTAAAATTATACTGAAATTTTTTTTATTAGTAAATACAATCATAATTGTGTACATTTTTTTAATTCCCAGAGTTCAGCTTTACAAAACAATTGCTAAATGTGCTTCTAATTATGATCCCAACTGTGACAATTAATGGTCCCAGTGGAAGACTTTATTGCAGTTGCTGCAAATCCATCTTAATTAAGAGCAAAGTTTTCTGAAGGCTATAAAAGCTTCTCTGGATGATTATACGATTTATAGAATTCAAGAGGAGAGTAATATAGCAGGAGCCACTTATAATGTATCCATATAGTAGAATTCTCTGGTTGATTATACGATTTATAGAATTCAAGAGGAGAGTAATGTAGCAGGAGCCACTTATAATGTATCCATATAATAGAATTTTTCCTCCCATTTCCGTAACATTATCCAGATTGAAATGTTATGATTTGTCTACTGTGTGCTGCCAGAAATAAAGCTAATTCACAATTCTATGCATGGAGAACATATCAACAACCTACACCACTTTTGTCCTTTTGGGGCTTGTTGAGATGGAATCATTTCGATTCTTATACGCTATACTTGCTTTTGCAGTATATTCAACTTCTTTCTTTGTGAGTTCAATGATTGTCTATGTAACCTGGACAGAGGAAAGTTTGCATAAACCGATGTACATCTTTATATGTGGCTTGTCCTCAATGTGATGTTTGGGAGTTCTGCTTACCTCCCCAAGCTGATGATTGACTTATTGTCTAAAAATTCAGCTATTCCTCTCTCTGGATGTCTATTGCAGGCCTTCTGCATCCAGACTCATGCAGCTGCTGAAATGTTTACTTTCACCGCTATAGCATATGATCGATATCTGGCGGTAGGTCACCCTCTGAGTTACCCCACTCTGATGACAAACTTGATGTGTCAAAAGTTACTACTTGCCATATGGGTTTTTGTTCTTATGGGAGTAGTATGTGGGGTTGTATTGTTAACCGCAAGGCTGACATTTTGTGCGGTGAATGTCAACAATGTCTACTGCGAGACCATGTCCCTCCTACGACTTTCTTGTGGGGACATTACAATTAATAATATCTATGGAATAACATGGACCTTGTCCATCACTATTGGCTCAATGCTTGTGATCATTTATTGTTACATAAGGACAATTGTCATCTGTCTCCAACTTCCTGGGGAAGCCTCTCAGAAAGCTGCCCAAACGTTGGTGACTCATGTGACCGCCTACTTAATTTTTATGGTCGGAACCATGTTTATTGCCTTTAGGTACAGACTAAGCAGCATTTCTCTCTCAACTGTTGCCCATGTTGTCATCTCTATGAGTGGTATGGGTACATCTATTACTGTTAACCCTTTGATCTATGGCATAAGGACCAATGCTCTCAGAATAAGAATTGCGCACAATCTACAGAAGATCTTAGGAAATTCATAATAACACAAGTAGTTCATACTTGTGAGTAGTAGGTTTGCCATCTTTGTAATATTTTATCCATTAGTTATTCAGCTTCATATAATCACGCAGTATGTAGGCAGAAAATAAGATATCAGTAATGAGAAAGGTAAGGTTAGGGACTATGAAGAACAGGCATACACAGTTCCACATGGCTCCGCTAGCTCAGAAGTGGAGAAAAACATTGGCCACCTTGTCAATGGCTTCCTCTCCTGTAGGATTCAAGCGGTAAATTCAAAAATGTATATGTAGCATGAAGGTTGAGAGTGGTTGTAAGGCTTAGGTTGCTTAGAAAGGTAGTTATCCTTTAAAATATGGTATGCTGTTTAAAAAAAAAATGAGAAAAGCCGGTATTTTCAATAAAACAAATCTTTAAAATTCTTATTTAACTTTATTCAAAATGAAAGTGTTTTACAAAGTAAACAGCTAGCCTCCCTGGCGGTATTCCCGAGTGTAGCTCGAGGTAAAGTTTCAGTACCACAAGCGGTAACCCCCAGCTACACTCGGGCTTAGCATGCAGCGTTGCTCCACAATCCCTCAATCACTTCCCTTGTCCTGCGCTCCCGCGATGTCCCCCCTGCAGTGTCCCCGCCAATGTCCTCCGGCGGATGCCAGCATCTGTCATCTGGGTTCCGTCTTCTGCGAGCGTCGGGACATACGGGGACGGAACGGCGGGAAATTTGAAAATGACAAAAAGTGACATTCACTAAAATCACTAAAATCACATAGTATAACATTCCTGTATCAAACCATTTCACATACATTTTGTCCCGAGTGCTTTGTCCGGCTCCCTGCCTGAATTTTTACTGTTCTTTCTGCCTGAAAATTGAGAACCGTCCATGGCATCCAAAAAGCATCCCTTTAGGTCAAAAGTAGTTTTAGACCGGCTAGAGAACAGCGATAGTAAATTAGAACCACTTGCAGAATTGAGTGATAATGATTCGTGGGGGAAATTCGTCATCAGACACTGAAAACGATTTTGCGACTTTGCTCAGCGATGTGCCAACTTGGCGCTCTACTTCAAATTTCAGTGTTTTTGGTTTGATTATATTATTGAATTACATTTATTATTATATTTTATGATTATTTATTAAATTAGAATTTATGATTTCGTGTTTCAAGGTTTATCATATCCGGAATGTTTACTAGACTCTTGTTCGGACAGATTTCAGTGAGTTATTCCTAAAAATTACAGACCTACAATAAAAAAAAAACATATTTCCATGCAAAAAAATGTCCCGCTTTAAGCACAGAAATACTGACATAATCAAACTGCTAGGGAGGTTAAAGAAGAATGACCTGAAGCAACCTATAATAAAGCTGGCCATGCATGGGTCAGTTTTTTTTCTGTTCAACCAGTGGGTTGAATGAAAAGAAACTGACCCGATTCCCGTATCCACACATTTGATTCATTGTATTCTTACAGTGGAGAGATTCCTCCACTGTCAGAATGCACAGATCAGTGCTTTAGCCTTCAGCCTGCAGTGCTGATCAAGCATAAAAATACCGATAGAGCAGTTGAACAGAAGTTGACCATTAGTTTGACTTCTGCTCAACCACAATGGCCACATATGAAGCAAAATTTAGCCAGTCCCTGCTGAACCGGTCAAATCTTGATCTACTGTATGTATGGTTAGCATAAACTCAGGGGCGGACAGACAACTCATGGGGCCCCCGGGCAATAGGGGATCATGGGGCCCCTGTGTCCTTGCCAAAACTCCAAAAAGCCTATGAAAAAGGTACCAGGGGCATCTCATGGGGCCCCCTACTGACCCCAGGCCCTCGAGCAGTGCCCGAGTTTCCAAATGGTCAGTCCACCCCTGCATAAACTAAGCCAGAGTTGGGAGTGGACAAACTGTGCTCACACACAGGTTGAGCAGCCCAGAGTGGCCGCTAGAGGGCGCATTATTGTGAAATTCTGCCCATCCTGTCATCACGAAGAATAAGGGGCCAGCCAGGGAGGAACTATGGTATATTGGTATATACTATTCATTGAATTTAGAATGGGGGATTTCCTGAAAATCTTCCTGAAAGGTGAACTTACACTTTAACCCAGTGCGTCCCCCTCCACGCTGCAATGAGGGTTAGAGGAATAAGCAGAAATACTTACCTTATTCCACAGGCTGCCTCCCTGCTTCATGACCTGTCCCCATAGCTGCTTCCCTTTGCCACTCAACCTCTCCTCCATCATCACATACAATGCAGAACCAGTGGTCCTGTTTTGTATGCTGGACATCAAGGGTTCTGTTCAAATCATGCAGAGTGGAGGAGAGAAGCAGTTCCCAGGGGAATTGAGGTAACAATATTTCTGTTTATTCCTTTACCTCTAGACAAAAACAGCATTTATCCCTTGTTTAAAATGATGATAATGGTATAGACTTGGCTATGTGTTTAAGGACACTGTCCTACTCAGGGGCAGACTGACCATTTGAGCACTCGGGCACTGCCCGAGGGCCCGGGGTCAGTAGGGGGCCCCATGAAATGCCCCTGGTACCTTTTTATAGGCTTTTTTGGGTGCTTTGAGTGTGGGCAAGGACACAGGGGCCCCATAATCCCCTATTGCCCGGGGGCCCCATGAGTTGTCAGTCCGCCCCTGGTCCTACTGAAAGATGGGCTTTGGCCCCAGTCTCAAGTCCTAGGTTTTTGGGGATTTGTTAGGCATATATGAATTGAGGACAACCCTGGATAGCAGGTAAGAGGAGAAAATTGATGGGGAGAGGTAGGGCAGTAAAAGCAAAAAGAAACAAAAATGTATAATACAATTATCTACATTTTTATTTTCTTACTATCTCCACTTTTTTTTCTTTCTCATCTTTGACCATATTACCATTTAGATAACTTTATATTCTGATGTACTGCCCAGGCAGCCTATATCCTTCCCTATCATTTCACTGTGGGTTTAGCTGGTCTACTGTAAAGTGTTCTTCTGGTATCTACATTATCTATCCACCAATTTAATGCTAGGGAATCAACATTAGGTACAATATAAAAATATTTGGAAATGTTTTTCCTGTTATTTGCCTGACTGCTTTCTTGAATTCCCTTGTAACCACAATTTAAATTTCTGGGTCACATTTATCGTCCTTTCTGTAAATGAAAACTTATATATTTCTCGGTGCATTATATTTGTAATCCAACTTCTTTTCGTAACTAAAAAAAAAGTTAATAATAGTAATAAAAATATGTCTTGTTAATGTTGGTTATTTTCTTGTTTTACTCTTTCACAAGCACATGAGATTTGAATCTTAGATATACACTATATGGCCAAAGTTATGTGTTCATTCCCCAAAATATTGAATTCAGGTACAGAAAGCCATCTCCGTAAAGACATGGTTGATGAGATTTGTGTAAAGGAACTCAAGTGCCATGCATGGAGCCCTGACCTCAACCTTTTGGCATGACTTGCTAATTGTGAGCCAGGTCTTCTTGTCCGTCATCAATAGCTTACCTCAAAAATTCCACAATAGTTCATTTAATTATTCACTTTTTCCAAAACCTTTTTTAGAACAGTTTTTTTTTTGACAGTGAAATTACTTTTTTCTGTCTGTTTTTTAAAGGTAGGTGTGTCCAGCCATGGAAATGTAGGGTGACGGTGTTTTTTTTTCCGCAGAAAATTAACAGATGTTCTTGTGTTATTATTATTGAGAACATGATCCTGGCTCTGTGGTCCAAGCTTAACCCCTCATTAGGAAGGCAAAATACCTGAACAGGTTTTTCAAGTTTGGTATGTTTTAGTAAAACTGTACATATCTTTGGGGCTTTATTTAGTGGTAAATGTTATTGGATATCTCCTGATTTTGTTTCATTATCAGAGAAAAACGGATATTTCTTGCCATTACCATGACCCACCACCAAAAAATAACCCAAATTAAATTCTACTCCTCTGTGCATGGGGGCACTTCATATGAGGGCCCCGTCACTGTCAGGACTGTAGCTAATTTCACCCTGAAATGTGTATACAAAGTCTGACCTCTATCGTGCTGCTCTTAGCATTTGCCTAACCTATCTCTAGTTGTTTATACTGTTCACCTAATTTCTTTTACAGGGCGTCCAGTCAGAACTAAATCCGTTTGAAATGTTTGCAATAAAATGTTTACTAGTGAAGGGCAGGAGGGCCCAAACAATCCAGCGGTGCCTCCGGGTTTGGCATATGCTTCATGTGCATTATTTTTTTGTACTCATAGTCAGGGGCGGACTGACTATTTGGAAACTCGGGCACTGCCCGAGGGCCCGGGGTAAGTAGGGGGCCCCATGAGATGCCTCTGGTACCTTTTTCATAGGCTTTTTTGAGTTTGGGCAAGGACACAGGGGCCCCATGATCCCCTATTGCCCGGGGGTCCTATGAATTGGCAGTCCGCCCCTGCTCATAGTAGGGGTTGTGGTGCTGTTAGTACTTACCTATAACGGTATCTCTGGTTGTTTGTATTGTTTACCCAACCAGTTTTCATTTACAGGACTTTCATTCCTTAATAAATCCCACCGATGTGTTTGTACTGTAGGTGTTTCGGTGGTTACTCACAGTAGTGTATTTAGGTTTTGTGTTGCCCTAGGCAACACAAAAATCATCTGCCCCCACGGATACCGACCAATACCATCCCCTTCCCACTCCTGCAGAGAAAACCTGACATTGCTGACATTGACCAACAACACCCCTACACCAACCTGGGAGAGCCTTCCACTACCCCCCTGGCGATAAAGAAAAATACACTCATCTTCACAGCTCAGGACATCCCCAGGAACAAGATTCAGGCTCTACATACACCATCAAGCAGCAACCTCTCTCGGATCCCACATGGTTTCCATAGCACGTGTGTCCATTCTTTCATCCCTTCTTCTGAGGGGAGGTGCTGCCCCTCTTAAAAATGCCACCCTAGGCAAGTGCCTTGTTTGCTTTGTGGTAAATACGTCTCTGGTTACTCAAGTTCAGGGCAGATTATTATTAGTAAAGGGTAGGAGGGCCCAAATAATCCAACGGCTCCTCCAAGGATGGTGCTAAAAATGCATTATTTGCACATTTTGCCTTTAGAGATTAGTCCCGATAGTTGGAATATATGGATATGCTCCCATGTATCTACAGTGATATACCAATGTGCTCAGTGCACCTGATATGTTCTGATATGAGTAACTAAAAGCCCCGGGACAGGCAGAGTAAATTTTAAGTGATCAGGCAGAAAAAGAAGTGTAACCGGTGAATGGCGACACACTATTATAATAAGATGGTGGAGTACTAACAAGCAACAATTCAGTAACAACAGCATGTTGAACAGTGGCACAAGGCAAGCTACAGTAACAGATCTACAGATGCCTCCTCTCCAGTGCAGAAAAGAACTAAAGAGCACTATACAGTCAATCAACTCAGGTCTTCCCAACCCCATAGAGTGATGTGATGTATAATCAGAGCGGAGAGACACAGAGCAAGTGCCTGGCAGCGGCAACAAGTAGGCCAGTCCTCTCTGCTGAACTGATGGGGCCCGGGCCCAGTACTGGAAGAATGATGGCCGTGATCCCGAATATAGCCAGATATAAGAACCCACAAATGTTCTACCTAGCAATAGGGTTACTCAGAGAGGTTTTGATCTCTTGGGCATGGGAGGCACTTCTGATTTAAGCTCGGTTGAAGCATTGTTCCATATTGTGTACAATGCCTGTTGCTAGTGCTTCTTTGGCAGAAGCTCAAAAGCATCAATTCAGCTCCTAGGCTTAGTGCTAGACCATGGTTCTCACTGACTGAACACTTAGTTCACACTAGTTGGAAATCCAAATA